TCTGTGCGTGTTATCCCCAATCAGTGCTTGCACTGAAGGGGTCCTAGCGGAGGTTGAAGGATTTGGCGAAAGTTTCCCGCCGATTTGGGTGGCAGGCTGGGTTCCCGGGTTCCTGGACTTTAAGGGTAGCTCTTTGGGAGATGTTATATAGAATCGGGAGTATAGCTCGCGCGCCGTTGCCTTTGGCTCAAGGCACGCGCGCCCTATTTGCCCGGACACCGCGAGTGTTCGCTATGTGCTGGAAAGATCACTACATCGATACTATCTTATCTTATCCGTCCATTCCTCTTACTGAACAGCCTCAGTACGATACCGGACGCTATTTGCCATCCGATGTCCATGGAATCGGATGCTATTTGACTTACCATAGTCACTTTCGACTTGGTAGCGGAGCTGGCCGCACTCTCGTGTGGTCAGCTCTTGCTCTTCTTGTCCTCACGCTACACGGCACGATCTTCGTGACCAACTACCACCCTGCGCCACCACTCCCAGTAAATTTACGAGGATCAACTCAAGAGCAAGAAGCAACACGAGAGGTACGACGTCTAGACAACAACATTGGTACCATAAACGCTTCATCATTGCGCTATTACCAACCGCTCGGCAACGAGCCAAAAACGCAGTACTTGAAGCATGGGCGGAGAGATCCGCCAGATAGAGCGCCTCGAAGACTTGACAAGGCGCTACCCCAGCGCGGCAACGCGCCTAATAACCACCCCTATCTTCACAGCCTTGGGCTGGTTATCTTCGCCATCATATGGTTCGCGCTGGGGGCAGCAATCGGACACATGCGTCGTGGAGACAACAGCACCGATGGGCAAACACATGGCCCATACTGGGACCCTCAAGGCAACGTACATTTCCGCGAGTACGTTTATGAGGTCAACGCGTGGCTCAACGTCACAAGTGGACGTATGACGCCGCAGGCCCAAGCGGCCGCCATGCAACGCGGCCTGGGTGGCCTAGCGAGGACACTCGCCATGAGGGTACCACCTGACATAATAGACTATGGTGCTGACATCGATGGGGTCCACACCGACCCAGTGACCTACATCATGTTCCTCCTAAGCATGAAGTTCGAGCGCCTGGAAGATGGGCGCCAGCTCACTTCCGGCACACAGCTCATCGACTTTCATGTGCCTCACGGAGAACGAATCGATGTCACCCTTACCCGATTCGAAATGACCCTACTTGAGGCACAGTCGGTGGGATTTGACCTTCCCAACTTCCAACTACTAACTGCGATCCTGTTCCGCGCCTTAGGCGTCGGCAACCAGCGAGCCACGCAACTCTTACAGCCACTCAATCACCAAATGCCCCGAACACAACAGCAGTATGATGAGTTGCTGGAGAGGATGCGTTCGATAGGTCACCTATCAGAACGGTCTCCTGGTAATATAGGATCAGTGCTTGGGAGGGGAAGGGGATCTGGTAGTGGGAATTTCTACATTACCTTAACCACTGAAGCCGAGCCTGGAAACGGGCCCTCAAGCATATGGGCCAACGGTCCTGGAGAATCCACTGCTTCACTAGCAGGGGATCGATCGCAACCATGCTGGGCAACCAGCCTTCCCTCCAGAGAACCTTAACCACACCGTTCCCTATGGGGTGAATCAAACTCCCTAACCGACGGTGTATCCACCTACCTGGGAGACGACGATTCCGACTCCGGCACCGACACAGATACTGTATCATCAGGCGGTGTTGAAGCTTTAGATTGGTCAGATAGCAGGCATATGGAAAATGATAATCAGCGTGCTGAACACTTGTTTTGGTTACTGCAACAGGCAAAACGGAGGTGGAGGAGGTTCACGGGACAACCAGTGCGTCGTGTTAGGAGGAGGATACGGAGGAGCTTCAAAGGAAAAGGTAAAGGCAAACGGGGTCGTCGTAGGTTGAATGGACGAGGCATCGCGGCTTTCCTCCAGAAGCTCTCAGCTGATCAGTATGATGAGATAAGTTTCGGGGGAAAAGGCCGCGGCAAAGGCCGCGAAGATACCTCAGGCAAAGGCAAAGGTAGGCGGGGAAACCCGCGAGGTAGAGACGGCCAGGTCCTAAAGTGCCATGAGTGTGATAGTGCCGACCATCTTGTGAGAGATTGTCCAGCGAAGGGAAATGGAAAGGGCAGGTCGACCGAAGTCCGTTTTGGCTCAAGTGATCCATTTATTGAATATCTGAGCCTCCAGGATTTTGAGGCCATGGAACAGAGATTTTACACTTGGGTTAGCTGCATGGACAACGTCGACGAGCTCGAGGCGTATGGCCATGGACTGTGCGCGTACTACCTCGAGTGCGTCCGCAGGTTCGTTGTCGGCAACAACGAGCTCACTCTTGTGGATCAAGGAACGCTGGGAAACCAGCCTTGATCCTTCTTCGACTGGATGTTCGGGAACCCAGGCAACATCATGGCCTACGGGGGCAGTGGCGAGGCCGTCACTGTAGAGGCCTCGCCTTCAGAGGTTGACCACAACCTCCAACCTCCACCCGACCTCACGCCTGG